TTATTTGGAACCAATTCCTTTTTTAAAAAATATTTTTAGGTGTACAATTGTCATCATTTTCATCATATCTTTATTTTTATATTATTTATTAAATATTATTAATATTTGTTATTTTGATTATTTATTATTACTGTACTATTTTTTGTAATTAGTATTGTAATTTTCCACATATTATTTGGAACCCATTCTTTTCGTTTAATCTTTTTAGGTATACAATTAGGCGAGTGTATTTTCAAGAAGACAAGGGTGGGTTTACTTGCACTAGCCCCACATGGCAACCAAGGCTTGTCATTGATCTTGCTGGGCAACTCCCTTGGGGGTCTGAGGGACGTTGTGAGCCTAGCTAGCCCAACTATTCCACCAATGACCAGGTCACCCGTAAGTATAACCAATAGATATTGTAAAACTAGAGATTGTCCTCGTACAATTCAACTTACCTGATTCCATTTTCTGTCGCAACGGTGACATGGGTCCAGTGGTTTGGGGCTCAGGATTATTGACCAGAGAGGAAACCAAAAATTTTGTCATAGAACACTGCTTTGAAAAGCATTTTTACAGTCTAAAAGTGTCATAAAAAAGCTTGCACCCAAGTGGCTATAAGTGGAAGCAAATACTACCCTTTGCCAGCTACCACCCACCGCCTCAATTAATCATCCAGCCTCCTACTTTACCTTCGCGTCCCCATCACACCCTTTTCCCCTTCCCATTTTAATACCCCTTGATATGCCACTGCAAAATATCTGGGAATCTACATGTGTCTATTCTTAGTCACCTCAAGACAACCGTGTTGGGACTGAGATGGGTGTGAACCCTTCTCGTTGACTATTCCATTCATCAGAATTCCCTGGCACTGCCATTAGTGTGTCCTTCCTATTCCTATTATACAACTTATAAAATCCGGCTTTGCATACATTGGCAATGATATGGTAATGGTAATGGTTTGGGACTTGTAAAGCGCATACTTCATGGTCTCTATGCGCTTAAGTTACACAAAAGAAAACAAACCAAAAACTAAATCCTAAAGTCTAACCAAGCGACCTAAGAATTAAAAAAAAGCATGAGAAAACAGACTATCGCAGGGGAACCAATATCACCGCACCATTTTCCTGCAATTTGAGACCACAGGCAAGCAGTGGTTTGCAGGATCATAACTCACAGATGCTCAAGTGATGTTGGCGTCTAGACTAGCCTATCCTAGAAAAACTAAACGATGGAAGTAAAACAACAAAGGTAAAACAACAGAAATGGAAAATTTAAAAAGTTTGAAAAAGGTAGGATATGCAATTAGGAAAATGAAATATATATGCGGAAGTGTTTTATAATAATGGCATTTACAAAAGCTACAGGTTTGGAAGTCAAAGATTGAGTGCATGTATTTAATATGTATTCTTAGAATTCTGCTCACATATTTGTCAGTGTGCTAATTGCAAGTTTCCATCACTGCTGGCGATTCGATGTGCTAATGGCAAATTGCCTTCCTTTTTATCACGATTTTTCTTTGAATGCATACTTCCCTATGCAATATAATCCATTGTGTATAGTATTTTTGTATTTATTGACATAATGCTAATACAATAACATTCAATATATTGGAATTTTTTTATACATTTGCCCTTCAAATTGACTTCAAAACATATTTTTAATATAAAAAAATGAATTTATATAAAGCAATTTTGATATTGAATTAAATTGTTCAAGCTTAATAGCGAACCGTCTTTCGAATGATACATTTGAAATGAGCGGCTGTTCTGTGGCAAAACAAGTACTTGAAATTTTTACTTTTCGAGAAAAATTTAGTAAAGCATGTTTGCAACTTTGCAATAAATTGTCATAACCTAATCCATTTTATTACATCTGTTTTTCAAACTCAATTCAGCCATAGCTCCATGATTCAGCCACCAACCCTATATTTCAGCTAACATTGACGTAACTCATGCGTCCTTTTCTGTTGTCACTCTAAGGCAGAAACATTTAAGTTTTCAGTCCTGGGTGTCATATATCTGATGTGCATATTAAACACTGTACAGAAAGGAGCGGCCGTTCTGTATCTAAACAACATGAAATTTTCACTTTTCAAGAAAAATTGAGTAAAGCATGTTTGCAACTTTGCAATAAATTGTCATAACCTTCTGAAATTTTGCAGGACTACTACATATTTATAGACAAGATTATATGTAAAATTTTAATGGCAACTGTTGGTTAATTGCAAAGTTATTAACGACATTAACTAATACGTTGATTTACCATGGAAAGATGTCAGTCACAGTATTGTTGCAAGTGAGACATATTTAATGAATTTATCATGTATAGGAAGTCATATGCATATAACTTGTGCATACGTTGTTGTTAAGAACAATGATGTAAAAACACCATCAACCAGTTGATTTTGCTGTGCCAAACTTCATCAGCTCAGAACAATTTTTGAGTACCATTCCATAGATACATTGTTTTGCAGTAATCTTGCAGTTAGGCTGTTTTACCGCGGAAAATCACTAGATTTTTAATTTTGTGCTTAAAGACAGGTGGTGCTATTTCCGAAAAGACTGATTATTGAGACCTGAAATTTTCACAAGTATTAAATATACTCCAAAATTGTATTATCTAAAAATCGACAGAAATGTCAGTTTCGTTGTTTTGCCTCGGGACGGCTAAAAGTAGGAAGGATTTGTCTCCCTGTGTATTGCCCCATCTCCACCAGAAGGACCCCACCGGAAATAGGTCTCTAAAGTTTTGTGGGATGTCCTTGGTATATTTGATACCAAGAAATCCATCCAACTTCCAATAATTTTGTCTGTTTTTTTGTTTCAGTTTTCCAATATGGTACCCGATTTTGTTATAACAGGACCGGATTTTAACAAAAAGGGGGCAGGAGGATACCTGTGTTCTGGGTTCTGGGGTAACAGGTGGGAGTACCGCCTCGAGTTGGCTTCATGCGCTTGTTGATCCAAGTCTGTACTAGCATGATGGAAAATAACATGAGCTAAACATAACAAAGGAAAGGGCCAAGGATCTTACAAATACATTTTTAAGAACGGGGCCCATGTTGCAATATTGTTATCAGATCAAATATTTAAAAATTATATGGAACAATAATATTATTATTATTGTTGTTGTTGACAATGTGGAACTTTTGATAACATGACACGGTAGGACGTAATGACGTCACTAAGAAGTCATCTGCGCATGCGAGAATGTTAAGTTCTCCTTGTCGTGTGGATTTTAGTACACAATTTGACCAAATCTACATTGTGCAGAGAACGTAGGATGGTCACACCTGAGTGAATCCATTCTAGCGTCTTGTTGTTGAGGTTGTTAAGAGTATGGAAGGCCAATTAAATCTGGTATGGAGCACAATAATCGCAATAAGTGAGTCACCGAAATTTATGCCCTGGAACCCAGACTAAGCAAGTGGTTGCACCAGTGAGGTGGACTACACACGGGCTCCAGTTGGCAGCACTTTATACGATGGACCGTTTGGGGAGTAGACATTTTTTATGAATGATTTAATAATCTGAACACATTGAGACCATAGTAATATGTACTAAATAAGTTGTTATTATAATTATTATTATTATTATTATTATTATAATTATTATTATTATTATTATTATTATTATTATTATTATTATTATTATTATTATTGGCATTTACTTCGTATAGCAGAACAACCATTGTTTTTATTTTTTTTTCTTTTCTATTTCTTATGTTTTTATTATTATTATTATTATTATTATTATTATTTATTATTATTGTTATTATTATGACCTTATTTTCATTGTATATTTATTATCATTGTTGGTTAAGATGCATATATTTTAATACCAAAGTCCTTGAGTATGTGAGTACGCACTAACCTTGTCGGAAATGTTTGTCTAATGGTCTACTGCCCAATTCACCATCAAGAGAGGGAGCACTGCTCAGCTGATGCCAGCCCCCAAGGCCCAGCCAACATTCCCCATCCAGTTACTCAACTATTGATGTACAGTATTTTTAATAAATATATGTTACACAATTTAGAATTAAATATTTATCTCGGTTGTAAACAAATCATAGTCATTCGCAGTCATTTTCAAAATACTAAATTTCAAACCTGTATGTATATTTTGGAGATTCCAACATTTTGGAACAATTTGGTTACTTTACTTCATTTACTTTACTTAAATTAAATTAATTTAAATTTACTATTTATCTAGATTTTAATCAAAATCATGGTTATTCATAACCCATTGTCAGGCTTCTAGATTTTAAACTTGCATGTATATTTTGGTACTTTCCAACTTCCCTTTCTTTTTCCTTTCCCCAAATTGAATCAATTAGAAAAAAAATATATATTTACCAAGGTTTTAAAAAAGATTATGAAGATTTTATACTTGTATACAGGTCTCCCTCCAATTAACTTTTGGGACCTGGGTTTCCATGGTCTTTATCAGTTTTTGTCTCTAATTAGAATAATAAAGATAATAGACATTTTCTAATTTGGGTCATTAATTAGAGGTGTCTTTAATTTTTTATTTCAATACATTGTCGCTTTAATAATAAACGTTTCAAAACATCAATTTATGATACATTCAGTAAGTCACGTTTATTTAACTGAGGAACCTGTTAGAAACATTAAACATGCTAAGCCGCGTCACGTACACAGTAATGACAGTTCTTTATTATGTATGTCAACTCAGTAATTTTCTGTGTTAACAATTGAACTGTATTAATATGCAAGTTAATTTGTTAAGATGATACAGTACCTGGTATTAAAACAGTATTAATATGCAAGGTTTTAACGCTTTTTTTTTATGTGTGTGTCTAGAAAACAAATAACCAAATTGTTGGCAAACATAATCGATTGGAAACAGGAAATGATTAAATGTGCTTAAATCATACAGACGCATTAATGTTTAACCGGAGAATCTGTTTTTACAATCAGTTAACATTCTAAGCTGCCACTGATAATATTTTTTGTCAGTACGCATTAATATAATGTTTATGTCAACCTGACAAATTGTATGTCTTAACACATTTCCTGTATTAAATATGCAAACAACAAGTTTTTAAAACTAATATAAATAAACGTGTGCCAGTGGTGTGTCAAGGATTGTTAAATTGAAACAAGAATCTGACTAGCAGAAGCGAAGTTATAATAAAAGAATTTGTTCAGAAATGGGCTTGTGACAAATTAATCTAAAGTAACATAGTTTGCCATTAACTCAGTCCAAAAGCAGTGGTTTGAGTGTGATGATGTCTACCTTCCAATCTCGCTTACTGGGTTCAGATCATACGACAGCATAGTTTTTTTTCCACGAATAAATCTAAACTCCAATCCCTAAGCCTCTCAGCCATATTATTTTTGATGATGTGATACACAGCTAATCCATTTTATTACATCTGTTTTTCAAACTCAATTCAGCCATAGCTCCATGATTCAGCCACAAACCCTATATTTCAGCTAACATCAGCGTGACGCATGCGTCCTTTTCTGTTGTCACCCTAAGGCAGAAACTTGCAGCCGCTATTTGTACCCTCCTAATTGCTTCATTAACACCCTTTAGGCAATGATCTCAGACACACGCGCTATACGCGATTGTCCCCAGATAATATGTGTTTCTCGTCTTGGTCCTGCAAATGCACATGTTTTAGTTGGCGTACCTTTACGCTGTTGTTTTTGGAACAGTACCTTGTAAACTGAAATTGGAAAATATTGTGAACAACACTTTCATGGTTTCAAAATTTTTTATTGAGCTATTGAGAATATCGACGACGATTTTAATTTCAAAATTGTATATACAGTAGGAAATATTTTCTACGAACTTCAGGTCAAATAACATTTAATATAGTGTGCAACTCATGGTAAACACAAGTTTTTTATAAATTTTACATACGTCAGTTGGCCTTAAGGCCAACTCAGACAGCGTCGGCCGACGCAGCCCGACGCGATTTATCGTCGGGGACAGTCTTAAGCCGTCGTGAGAAATATTAAACACGTTTAATATTCTACTACGCAACTGCCCCCGACGCACGCGATTTTTTTTTCCGTACGAAACATTTGCATGAAACTTCACTCGG